ATTAAGCTAATGAGGGTACTTTATGCAAGCTTTTAAACTGCGTGTGAGTGTAACTTACATCAGGACGTTTATGCATTAAAATAAGCTGCTTTTAATTTTCTGGCTCGCTAATGTTTACTACGATAATTTACTGGCACTGCGTCCAACTCTTCACTAGTTAGCCAACGCTGCATTTATGAAGATTTGTTCCCTCGGATACAGTACTGGATGTTTGTAAAGTGAAAATATACGAAGAATATATATGAAGAGAGTTTTTATAGTTTCGGTAAATTTTTTAAGAAACAGGAATTGAGTTATAATTTGATCTGTAATGTGTTAAAATCCAAATTTACTTCATATAGGCGAGTTTCAGCTGACGTCATTGTTATTAAAAGCCCGCGTTGCATGCTGGGAAATATTTTGGTCGGAGGCAAGAAACACGATAGCGGTCAAACACAGTGCGTAACCTCGCGTATTTATCCCCGATAATGGTAAATTCCTGCTGCATTATCGGATGCACAAATAGAAGCACGGAAGAAGGAAAATGTCTTTTTCATATTCTGAGTGAAAAGAAACGCTAACGGCGAATTAAACGGCTTTCAAACATACGCAGAGCAAACGTAGAAGATCCGAGCAAACCGTGGACTCCAACAAGTTCAACAACACATCGAGACTCTTGGAGGTTTTCATCTTTTCTGCTGTGAATGGACCAGGAGTTTCCACCAAGTCATTGTGGATATCGCCGAAGTGAATATTTGTCCAGGTAGTTGGCGATTCTGACCAGAAATTTGGTTTGGTCCACCTTTTGTCGGGGTTGAAAAGGGTGATGTGGCGTCCATCAATGCTTATGACCAATTTCTGGTCAAATCGTCTTCGGTCCTCTGCCGTTAGAGTGGATAAATACCCGGGATCAATACCCTTTACGTGCTTTCTTGCTCCGTCCGTCATGTTGAATTAGTGTTTATTGCTGCTGACCAAAATAATTCCCAGCATGCAATGTGCGCTTTTGTCAACAATGAAACTCGCCTATACAGTGGTCCCTCATTTATCGCGAGGGTTACGTTCTAAAAATAATCCACGATAGGTGAAATCCGCGAGGTAGTCAGCTTTATTTTTTACAATTATTATATCTGTTTTAAGGCTGTAAAACCCCTCTCCACACACTTTATACACTTTTTTCAAACAGGACAGTTACAACCCTTTTTGCATCCTTCTTAAAACTTATTGCTGCTGTCGTCCTCCTTCTATTTATTATTTATATTTAGTTATTTTTCTCCTTCTTTATGTAACGAACTAAGATTAATTTATTCCGTAATGGAGCCTAAAGTGCAAAGTTCTGCACGGGTCCATTTTTGGAGACCCGCACCCGCCCGCACCTGCCTGTTAACCTGAGAGTATATAAAAAACTTGTAAGATGCATACGCCACGAACTGAGCTGAGACTAAACCAGGACTAACCCAGGACTAACCTAGGACTGATTCCAGGACTGAAGAGGAGGAATAAACCAGGACTGATCTAGGACTAAAACGGGACCACAACGGGAGTAAACCAGGACTAAACCAGGACTGATCTAGGACTAAAACAGGACTAAAACGGGAATAAACCAGGACTAAACCAGGACTGATCTAGAACTAAAATGGGACTAAAACGGGAGTAAACCAGGACTAAACCAGGACTGATCTAGGACTAAAACAGGACTAAAACGGGAATAAACCAGGACTAAACCAGGACTGATCTAGGACTAAAACAGGACTAAAACGGGAATAAACCAGGACTAAACCAGGACTGATCTAGGACTAAAATGGGAGTAAACCAGGACAAAACCAGGATTAAACCAGAACGGAAACAGGACTCACTGTCAGGACGGGCTCAAAGGTGACCGCAGGAGAAAAGACCGGCTCAGCTCCGCACCTCATTTCGGTGTTCTCTCTCTTAAGTCCAAGATTAGTCTTGGTTTAGTCCTGGTTTAGTCCTGGTTTAGTCCTGACCCACCCATTTCAGCAACTATTTGCCCGAACCCGACTCAGTGCTGGACTTGGTGAACCGCGATGTAACGAGGGACGACTGTGGCGCATTTTCAACTAGGGGTGTTCAAAAATATCAAAATATCAATTTATCGTATTGTTTAATGTGATGATACAGTATCGATATCGTGGGCTGCTGTATCGATATATCGCCAAGAGTATTTTTTGGTATATTTTACTAAATTATTTTGTTACAGTGCTACAGTTTTGTTGCTGGTTTAGAAGAAGGAAATTTGTTTATGTGACACATTTGACGTATTCACTGTTTTGAGGATTAAAATGTTTGTGTTTCATATTCACTTTGCACAAGAAATGGTTTAACAAAGACTATTTTTATTGAACCATATTGAATCAATTTGAAATAGATCGTATCGAACCGAATGTGCTCTGTATCGAGATGTATCGGATCGTGGCCTATGTATCGAGGGATGTTTTTTATCTGCAAATTCTTAATGACACTCAGCCCTATTTTCAACACATTCAGGAGCAGTCGCATTTGAGAGAAAATTTTTTGGGGTTTTATTGGCTGATAACTATGTAACTGTTTCCTTTTATGTTATTTAATGTTTAATTTCCGAACTTTTTCATCCAAATCAATCCCAATAAGGCATCTCCTGTTGTGATTTGGGCTATGCAAAAATAAATTGAATTGAAATATAAACTGCTGAAGTAATACAAGAATCCCACGTATTTCTGAACATATTTGTTGAATTTTTAAGTGTAGGGTTAGGAGTTAAATTAAATCTCTATTTGCTGTTTGCAGGGCATATTGAATTACCACAAAAATGCAGTCTTTTCACTTTGATAATTGTGATGTTAAAATTGGTATTTCCATTTGATTGTGATGAGCTGTGCAAACCTATTCTACTGTTATCATCAACATTATTCCATCAGGACACTTTAAATGTGAGACTGGAACATTTTCATTTGTTAAACTATTAATGAGGAAATTACACCCCACGGACAATACCACTGATTTTTGTTTTGATCCAACACCAAGCAGTAACAGTATAGAAAGTACTGTGATATTTATCTTTTTTCCTTTTATTTTTTCTTTGCATGTGGACATGTTTGATCTAGACGGGTCGTATGTGTCCCTGATTGACCTGTTAATCATGCACATTTGAACTCACGTTTTTGTAAAGTAATGAAGAAATGTGTATTATGGATCCAAGGCAACAAAAGAAGTTGACCTTGGTGTCATTTCCTCAGCTTCAACTGATCTAAAAACTGAATATACATATACCCAGATAGACCCGTTATATAAACCATTGTTAAAGGGTATTGATCCCGGGTATTTATCCACTCTAACGGCAGAGGACCCAAGACCATTTGACCAGAAATTGGTCATAAGCATGGATGGACGCCAAATCACCCTTTTCAACCCCTACAAAAGGTGGACCAAACCAAATTTCTGGTCAGAATCGCCAACTACCTGGACAAATATTCACTTCAGCGATATCCACAATGACTTGGTGGAAACTCTTGGGCCTTGTTGGAGTCCACGGTTTGCTAGGATCTTCTACGTTTGCTTTGTGGATGTTTGAAAGCCTTTATTTCGCCTTTAGCGGTTCTTTTCACTCAGAATACGAAAAACACATTTTCCTTCTTCCGTGCTTCTATTTGTGCATCTGATAATGCAGCAGGAATTGACCATTATTGGGGATAAATACGCGAGGTTACGCATTGTGTTTGACCGCTATCATGTTTCTTGCCTCCGACCAAAATATTTCCCAGCATGCAACGCGGGCTTTTAATAACAATGATGTCAGCTGAATCTCGCCTATACAGTTCTGCCTATACACCTGATCTGTGTGTTGTGCTCTCCTCCTGCACCCCAGACACGAACGAGCTACAAAAACGCAGACAAGCGTATCTATCTCATTATAAATGCTGAAATGTTAAGACATGTTTTGTATCATTTATAATCTTTTTGTAATTATTTTAAAGACTGTTTTGCTCCAATATTGCTGGTTCAATTGAATATTGAATAGAAAAAGAAATGAGGTCAATTTAATGTCCAAATAGGCGACTTATGGATACATTTTACTGTTTTTCATTGTTTAAAACTCGAGTAATACTAAATGTTCAGACAGACACGATCACTCAGTCAACAATAAAACATCCTCATTAATGTTCAATAATGGTCAAATCCACCTTATTTTGTGATTTACGAATAATGTCTATTGATTTGGATTTCGAAGGTTTTAAAATATGGGTCCTCAGAAAAAAAAAAAGTTTGGGAAACACTGATATAAACAATGTATTTCATAAACAGACTCAACAGATTCAACTGATTTAACCATTTTATATTTTACTTGTGAAACCAAAAGACTTATTCATATATTGTTCATATCTCCGTGAGATTAATCCTCTCTTTAATTCTCCAGACAAGTTTATAATAATATAGCGAAACATATAAAAGTGGAATTGGAAACGTGAAAAGACAATTCTAGCTTATTGTCCAAACTTCATTTACTACCTTGTACGTTGCCAGGTTTGTTGTCATCCTCCTGGCTTCAGTGTGAATCCCACTTTTCCGAGCTCAGTGGAGTGGACGTGGTGACAGGTGCACACACGTCGCAGCGCCTGTCTGTCATGTTGTCTCGGACTCACACTTCTATTACATTTTTGTCACTGTCAAAAACCCTTGAAGAAAATGACAAGTTTCCCCCCCCTTTAGCATCCGATGTCCAGGCTGCGCTATCCACCTGCGCGTCGCCGCCACTACACGCCGCAGCGGTCAAAAAACTTGCTCAACTTTGACTCTTTTTTTCCCACATTTGGTTAACACTCTTGTCGGTGTGAAACTTGCGAGTCTCGGGGCATCTTAAGCACCTGGAATAACACTTTTTCGGTGTTTATACTTCTCTTCTTTCATCTCTCCAGCCCTTTCTTTTAACACTGTATATCAACTAGCTGGTGTTTGCTAACATGCAGCTGCCCAGACGCTTGCAGTCCACATTGTTAATTTGTCTGACCTTTTGTTTTGTCTAGCCGCCGAGTGGGAGGCGACCAATCTCAAGAAGGCAGAGGAGTCCTACGAGCAAGTCAACGCGGAAATAAGGTAATTAAGTGAAAGCATGATTTTTATTATAAGTCTCCTTTCTATTTAAACTTCACTGTGGATAAACTGGCTGCTTAAAGGGTCCATGTTACACTATAATCTATGTTGTGATTAGGACGCCATGGACTGAACTGAGACTAAACCAGGACTAAACCAGGACTAACCCAGGACTGATTCCAGGACCGAAGAGGAGGATTAAACCAGGACTGATCTAGGACTAAAACGGGACTAAAACGGGACTAAACCAGAACTGAAACAGGACTCACTGTCAGGACGGGTTCGAAGGTGACCGCAGGAGAAAGGACCGGCTCAGCTCCGCACCTCATCAAGGTAAGTGCGGCCGTCGCCCGATCGCGCTTTGTGGACACCCTGTTTCGGTGTTCTCTCTCTTAAGTCCAAAATTAGTCCTGGTTTAGTCCTGACCCACCCATGTGTAATCACTACCCACCCGTAAAGTTACAGAAAGTTAAAACCCACCCATTTCAGCAACTATTTGCCCGTACCCGACTCGGTGAACCTCGATATAGCGAGGGACGACTGTAGCACATTTTCAACTAGGGGTGTGCAAAAATATCAAAATATTGAAATATCATATTGTTTAATGTGATGATACAGTGTCGATATCGGGGGCTGCTGTATTGATATATCACCAAGAGTATTTTTTGATATATTTTACTAAATGATTTTGTTACAGCGCTACAGTTTTGTTGCTTGTTCAGTGAAAGAAAACTCATTTATGCAATAAGTATTCACTATTTTGAGGATTAAAATGTTCGTGTTTCATGTTAAAGTTGCACAAGAAGTGGTTTAACAAAAACTTTTAGTGTCACAGCCATGATTTCGCCTTTGTACCGTATTGCGCATGGACCGTGCCTCTTTCCATGCGCCTCCAAACCAGGACTAAAACCAGGATTAAAGCCAGGACTAAACCAGAACCAAACCAGAACTAAAACCAGCTCTAAACCAGGACTAAAATCAGGACTAAAACCAAGTCTAAACCAGGACTAAAACAGGATTTACTCGGGACTAAACCGTTAGGCACAGACTGTGATTGATTGATGATTCCGCATCATTTTGAGTAAAAAAAACATTAAATATTACTGATTTTCACTGGGCTGGTGCCTTTATGTTTGTACTGACAGTGAGTTTTTTTTAATAAATAACCTGGGTGTAAATAGCATTTTTGTCTAAGAACACCCGGGTGCCCTTCTATGTCTCACGCTAAATACACCTGGGTGTAAATAGCAACAATGGCTATTGAATAGTGAATAACAATGTTAGTTATTTACAATAGCACTGCCTTATTTTTTATTGAACCGAAAATCTCACTATCTGTTTTTGAGCAAAATTTGTCTTGCCCCAATACAGATAGATTGTATAATCAGTAGGGATGTAGCAATAACCAAAATATGGTGATATCATATTGTCAAAAGTCTCACAATATATCGAATTAAAAGTTCCTTTGGTCAAATGCATGGTTTTACAGTAACAACAGCTAAATAACACAGGAAACTACACAGACCATGATTCATTTTAGCTCAGACAACATGAAGAAATATGTTTTTTACTTTAATTCTTGGGATTATGACTAATGATTCACACCTAAGTCTTGTCAAGGTGTTTTAAAAGCAAAAAGTATCCTGTCTACAATTATATGAACCACTCCAAAATATCGCAATAAATATCGTACCGTGAAATTTGGATATCGTTACATCCCTAAAAATCAGCTCTTGATAAATCCGCTGTGTACTGTCTGCATCTAAACCGTGTTATCTTCTGAGATTCCTGAAGTGCGCTGTTCGCATACTAGTAGTTTTTATTGTTGGAACTGTGCCGCGAAGCTTCTTTTTATCTCACAGCATCACCCATTATTACAAACGGCTGCACCAAACTAAGGCAAAATCGTAAGTGGCATGATTTATGTGTACGCTGGCTGGTGTTGTAAGCAGGGTGGCTGTGTATGTAACCGGGGCCTTAAAATAGACCAGGAAAAGCTGCACAGTAATGAATTTGCACCGCGCGGTACCTAGGGCTAATTTTAATGAAGAAAAACAAACGCTATTGGCTGCCTACTGAGCAGCGCTGGATAGGCCTATTCCAGCTCACGTTGACAAAAGATTTGGCTTGGTATGAATAATCCAACTCTCCCTGCTACCTTTTTTAAACGCAAAGTGAAGCCAAGCAATGCAGAAAATGTTGTAATTATTCCGCCTAATTGAAAAAGAATGACTTTAAATGAGCTGTTTTAGCAAGAAGCTCTATGTTTTATAGTTTTTAATGAATGTTGCTGTTGTGTACGGTGCAACAAAAGCCTTAGCCTAGCCAGATTTCGCTTTCACGTGTTTTTGCTGTGCTCCCAGCCAGCAGGCAATAGCAGATAAGTAGTCTGGGTGGCCCTCAGGCATGCAAACTGTTCATTACAGTAGGGGCAGAGGAGAGCCAAGCACCAAGACGGCAATTACCAAAAGGTCAAGATTTTTCCCCTAAACAAAAAGCAGTATGAGGAGGAAGGAGGCTGCACAGCTCACGTGACTCTGCTTTTTATATCCTCCTGGTCAAATGACTCAATATATGATTACAATTTACTTCAGGATATGTTTTCATCTTCGCTACTTACACGAATCTTTATAAGCGTGCTATAGGCTGAGTTCACGTCCGAGAATGTGATGAGGTCGTGCTCTCAGATGGTGCGCTATGGAGCTCAACAGTGACCGCTCGCTCAGGTTCTGGAAATAAAATTTTCATTTATTTTTCCATTTGGCTTTTTCGAAAAATTTAATATATTAAGAGTTCAAAGAAATCACGGAGGCTACGCAGCTACACACTAATATCCATAACGTGGTTAAGTCTAAAAAGGCAGTTTAAAATGCATGATTATGAGAAATGTTTTAATAACTTCACAGTTTATACAATTTCAGAAACAGACTTTAAACTAAATTATAGGGCTTGTGGTTATAATATCAGTAATATTTTTCAGAAAGTGTATGATAAAAATTTATGGGAAATGTAGCTCCAGAACTGTTGGATTGGTGGTCTCTGTTGAGTTCCATGCTCTAGAAACAGAACTATATGGGAGATTTACTGACTTTAAAGGAAATATCCAAAATAAAAAGTCACAAATGTTGAACCTCATTTTTTATTAGGGATTGGGTCCACAAACCCACAATTTTAATCTCATGCTTTTTAGTCCTTTCAACTGACAACAATCACGCCTTCGGAATTGAATAAAGGCATCGTTCTCTGAACCCATTATGAAGAAAAAAACGAAGGCAAAGAGACATTGAACTTTGTGCCAGTTTTTATTTTATTTGGATAGGTCCAGTAATTAAACGTCCTATATTTCTCAAAACCAACTCTTGTGAGCTTTAAGACATGTTAGAATGTCAATACCTCCTCAAAAACAGACCTGGAGCTGGGTTTTGTGTTATTAATATAAGTTCGAGTAACCCTTTATTAGTTATATTAGTCTGCCTACATCTCTAAATCTCAAAATGCTTTGATCCACCTTGTGATGTCGTGAAACAGTAGTTTTCAAGTTAACAGCTACCTTTTACCTTTTGTTCAGTAGAGTTGAAATGATATAGGGAATCTGTATGGAGTTTACACAAAGGAGAACTTCTTGCACTACAACATGACATCAAGGTGGAACAAATGAAACAAAAACCAAACTCCAGGTATGTTTCTGATGAGGAAACATTAGAATATAGATCAGAAAATAGCGTAATATAGGCCCTTTAAAAATATATTAACTACAAACCAGGTCAACAAACCGTCAGTCTGACTTTTTAACAAATTCTGACCTGTCTTCTAGTTCAGTTTTAAACCAAATGGAATCTAAAATATTGTGAACTCAACCTCTGAGACAGTTTTTTCCATTATCTTTTCTTTGTTTGAATATAATGGCCTTTACCCTACTTACACATCTCACAGACCTAAAATGCCTTTCCAGTCTGCAATCATTTCTTATCAAACTAAAACCAAACTCTGAGCCACCCCCACCCAAACATTTGTTAACGGCATTAGAGGTTCAGGGTTATGAATATGGAAATAGGGGTCTGTGTACTGTTAAGAGAGAGACTTCACTTCCCTTATATGCGATTAGTGGAGGAATGCAGTGCAGTCAATGGCCATAATTATGTAGTCTGCATAGAAATAGGTTTTTAAGGGCTGCCTCATCAACACACTGTCCATGGATTCAGTGACTAGAAGCAGAGAAAGCTACAGTGTCAGCAGACTTCAGTCACTTCAATGTGTAAAGCATCTGGGGGCCGAGGGAGTGGGTACTTTTAAATAGAGTACGAAAAGTTCCACAAGAGTTGCGTGTAAAGATAGTTAAACAGCGCCATGGGTTTCAAAGTTATAACAAACGATCACCCTCGGCATAGTGATTAAAGGTACGCTATGTAACTTTTCGAGTGGAAGGATCCGCCAACCGTTTGTCACTATGGAGATATTGTGAATAGTTTTTCCCAGGAGCTTTGAACAACGTAGTTAAACACTGCCATCCGTGACAAATTAGCACTGTTGTCATAGCAATTAATGATCGCAAGTCTTCAAAATGGCACATACATTTTCTCGGATGATGTGTGGCCGTTTCTGTCTCACATTTCAGCACTGATCCCATACTGGTGTCGAATACCAGCACCGATTCTGAAAAATTTGCTGGATCGGATATCAGCTTCCAAATATCGGTTCAGTCGATATCCTAGTTGGACATATAAATTGTTGTAATGGTACGAATTACAAATCGTTGCGGCAGAAAGTTTCAATGTTTGAACTTTTATTTGTACAAAGCTTCTGTAGTTATCGTATTTTTCGGACTATAAGTTGCTCCGGAGTATAAGTCACACCAGCCAAAAAATGTGTAATGAAGAATATATAAGTCGCACTGGACTATAAGTTGCACTTTTTGGGGGAAATTTATAAAAAACAAAAATCAGAGACCAGGAGCCGACATTTTATTTTGAAAGGCAAGTTTTAGTAATAACAATAGAACAGAGAACAACAGACTGTTAACGTCACATATGAACAGTTCTTCAAAAAACTATAGCATAAACAACAGAACAGAACATGTTTACCAAACTCTCCATCTCACTCCAAATCACTAAATTCTTCATCCTTGGTGTCACTTCTGAGCAACTCCACGATGTATGGAGGTAAACAGAGCTCCGCTTCCTCTTCTGTGTAGCTGTCGTAAGATTCGGCATCAGTTCCAGTTAGAACTAGAAAAGCACTCAGAGAGCGCAGACCTCCGCCAAGGACTACCCCCATTTTTTATATAAATTGCGATAAAATCAGTCTTCTGGATCAGATCCGGATCAGCCTTTGGAATATGAAAGAGGAATTGTCCATCCCTGAGTCAAATTTCATGGGGTTTGGTCAATAATTAACCGAGATATTGAGAAACTAAATTTTTGGCCCCATTTACCACAATGTTAACTAAAATTTCAAAGTGATACAGAATCCAGGATTTCTTCCGGATCACCCCCAAAATGAAATCAGTTCTTCCTTTTCACATTTCCAACAAATCCTGAAAATTTCATCAAAATCAGTCCATAACTTTTTGAGTTATGTTGCTAAACAAACAAACAAACGCCGGCAAAAACATAACCTCCTTGGCGGAGGTAATTATTCCGGCCTTTCTGAATCTCGACAGGATGGTTTCAGTTGTCATTGAAGTCCAGGCTTTGTCGATCCATCCAGTGACTTCCAGGAAAGTTGCATGGTGCACCCGCCCGGTTGTCACAAGTTTCTCACCCACTCCAAACTTTCTTTCGGCTGCATATTTTGCTACTTGCAGCTTGTAATCTGCAAAATATGATTTTCTTTTTGGGGACATTTGTGTTCAGTCTTCTGTGTTGTCTTTATATGTTTGTCTAAATTTTACATTTTCAGTGGTACAGAAGTAATGATGCGATACCAGACAGGACCGAGGCTCTTTCTGCAGGAGACATGCACAGTTTTTTTGCTGTTATCAGTTTCTGCGCTGGTATCAGTTATCAGTATTGACAGATAGTTATAGCTTAATATCAAAATTGTTATCGGAACTGAAAAAGCTGGATCTGTGCATTCCTACTAATACACATACTAGCTTTACATTGCCTTAAAGAGGCATTATGTAACTTTTTCTGGTGGAGAAGGATGTGATTGCTTTGTTGGGAATTTTCCAAAAAAACTGTGGTCCAAAGCAAGAAAAAATATCTGACGAAGGGTTTTTTGATGAAACGCTATTTAAAAAAGCTGTTGGACATCATCCATCTGAGTCTGCTATGCATTTTTTCACTTTTATTTTACTGTTCCTTGCATTTGCACTTCTACAACTTCTACTTTAGTGTGCGTTTTCTGTTTCATTTGAATTTTCCAAAGCGTGACATTCAAAAATATATTTGTAAGCATTGTTTTTTGTGTGTCTGCAGTGAACTCCAGAGGAAGCTGGCCATCGACTACGGCACAGACTGGGAGTTCCTCTTCTTGAACAGTCAGTGTTTTCAGCTCCAAGTTTATGAGTAAGTCTACAGATTCTCTTTTTGTTTTTCTTAAAGACAACTTTGTATTGACTTGGCAATCTCACCACAATCACTAACTCATGATTGCAGTGTTTACTCTCAATAATGGGGAATGGTGGAAAGCAATTACTTCTGCAATGCCTGTACACTCCAGGTAGCTATAAAATGTTGGTTTTGAATATGCATTACACAGCCATTATGTTAACCACGGTCTGAGATCAGTGTAATTTTAAAAGTGTCTGTACCTGATCTGTGTCTGTGTTGAGCCAAATTCGTTTTACCTTTGTACAGATGTATTGTATTGTCAGCTTTTATGGTAAAAATTAGGCCGGTGTTTGTTGTCTGCATCTAATTATAAAGCATTTTATTATCTAAGAATCTGTGATTATAACATAGACTGTATAAAGAAGTGGGCTAAGGAAGTCTAGCGTGACCCATAGTGTTTGGCTCCAGTCAGATGAAGCTGTTGTCTGTGTGAATTTGGAGCAATTTTAGGAATAGTAATTTATTTATGGACAAATAGGTAAATAAAAACACCAGGATCATGTAGAGCAGGTTAATAGGAGCATTTTCTGTCCAAAATGATGAGGCTCACTGCAGCAGGCGACAATTTTTCAATGTAAAGTCAACTGTAGTCGATGGAGCTGGAAGTTAGCCAGACCTAGTGCCTCCACTCAATTTAAGTTTCTCTCCAGCGACCTGGTCAGGAATTGGAATACAGTAGATGGTTTGCGTGAACCCCAGGAGTGTGAGTCTGGGCACCAGCCAATCAGAGAAGAGCCATACATTCTGTGTTGGCAATGATTCTCGAAATCAAGGATTTAAAGCCGGAACAAAGGTTATGTTTGGTAAATTTTATCAAGGGGAAAGATGTTATTGCCCTTCTTCCTACGGGATTTGGGAAAAGCTTAATATACAAGTTAGCCCTGTTTGTGGCACATTATACTGTATATATCACGACCAAATAGCAGCGATTGGTTAGATAAAAAAAGTACCCGCTTACCATTGAGCGAACGAATCCTAATTCTGCGAGGTCAGACGGTTTCCACGAAGTGAAACCGGCTGGTGAACCAGGCTCGCCGAAAGTGCCTCATGCTCACTTCCTCTTTGCAACACGGCAGCTCGTGGGTTAGCTATGTCATATTTACATTGTCAATTCATTTTACTCATTGCTGTGAATAATTAAGATGCTCAGGATGCATAAGGTAATGGAGGAATAACTTTGAACCACTGCAAACAGTTTAAAATGAACAGTTTTTTCATGTGTGGAAGATAGTTTTAGCACCTGGTTTTTACTGTCTCTATTTGTATTTAATACTGGGCATATCTGTGGAAATCCAGTGTTTAGAGCTGATAATTTGTGAGCTGAAGCCGCCCCAGAGCAAGCAAACAACTAAATCAGTAAATTTAATCAACAGAATGGTCTTCTTTTACTCTCTCTTGCTCATCCCTATGGCCCCTGCTGCGGAAGAATCTGTTCTCTTCAGGACGGCGTGCCAGCTGGAGCCTCACGAGCCTGTGGGTGGTTGCAGTTTTAAAGAAAATTATTTCAAATCTTCACTGAGATCTGCTCTACAAATATATATTTTTTCTGACAACCTTGAATTCAATTTTTTCCCCCATGGCCTTGTGGCACCCGTTGGTTTTGGTTTGCTTGAGATGAAAGCTGGTCCCGTGATTAGGTGTGAGGTGGAGACATTTGTCACAGTGAGGGGCAGGAGGACACTGGGCAAACTTCTCTCCATCATGGACACTGCTGCTCACCAGACTATAGAGGGACAGATAATACTCCCTACAACTGTGCAACAACTCACCCACTGCACCAGACTATAGAGAGTCAGAGGAGCTCATTCTCCCAACAGGCTCCTACAGCTCCGCTCAAACAGTGAGAGATACAGGACTACATTCATACTATAATACTCCCTACAACTGTGCAACAACTCACCTTTATGTAACAGATAATACTCCCTACAACTGTGCAACAACTCACCTTTATGTAACAGATAATACTCCCTACAACTGTGCAACAGCTCACCCTTATGTAACAGATAATACTCCCTACAACTGTGCAACAACTCACCTTTATGTAATAGATAATACTCCCTACAACAGTACAACTCACCTTTATGTAACAGATAATGCTCCCTACAACTGTACAACAACTCACCCTTATGTAACAGGTAATAGATAATACTCCCTACAGCTGTACAACTCACCCTTATATAGCTGATAATACTCCCTACAACTGTACAACTCACCTTTATGTAACAGATAATACTCCCTACAACTGTACAACTCACCTTTATGTAACAAATAATACTCCCTACAGCTGTGCAACTCACCCTTATATAGCAGATAATACTCCCTACAACTGTACAACAACTCACCCTCATGTAACAGATAATACTCCCTGCTACTGTACAACAACTCACCATTATGTAACAGATAATACTCCCTACAACTGTACAACACTTCACCTTTATGTAACAGATAATACTCCCTACAACTGCAAAACAACTCACCCTTATGTAACAGATAATACTCCCTACAACTGTGCAACAACTCACCTTTATGTAATAGATAATACTCCCTACAACTGTACAACACTTCACCCTTATGTAACAGATAATACTCCCTACAACTGTACAACACTTCACCCTCATGTAACAGATAATACTCCCTACAACTGTGCAACAACTCACCTTTATGTAATAGATAATATTCCCTACAACTGTGCAACAACTCACCTTTATGTAACAGATAATACTCCCTACAACTGTACAACTCACCTTTATGTAACAGATGGCCATAGGTGCTGTCAATCATCATTATTATCGACCTTTTGTATATAGCTGGGATATTTTTATTACTTATTTCTGTTTTATTTTATTTTAACATGTACATTGTACATTTATATAATTATGCTTTATCTGACACTTGTCTCTTGCTCTTTGTGCTGCTTATTAAGAATGTATTATTACTGTTTATATTTTTTCTCTTTCTTATTATAATATATTGTGATGTGTGAGCTACTGTGTCCAAGTAATTTCCCCCATGGATCAATAAAGTCCAAGTCTAAAAAGAGGCTTCCAATGTGAGCGAGAAAGTTGCGATTTCCTTCATAAGCCAGTAAGTATTTTCACTGAAGTCTATATTACATAACTATATCACACATTGGCTGTGAAAGGCTCTCATGTTAGCTGACTGGGAATGTAAAAACAACTGACAGATGTGGGGAAGGCTTGCTTTGGTCAATTTTGTACGACAGCGAAGCACTTGACGCACAAACAAGCCCCTTCTCACTGTAACACTGTGTATGTTATTGATCTACACTCATTTCATAAGTGCTAATGTCTTAAAATATCAGACAGGACTCGCATCTGTGCAGTAAATTCTTGTAGTTCAGCGTTTTTCATTCATTTCAAGTAGTGAATAGTGCCTGAGTTCCATTAGCTTTGGCTTTAAATTGACTATTAAGTTACACACATTAAGTGGTGTGTAGTTTATAGCTTCTTTTACGGCATAAAAATAAGATACTACCTGTTCACTGCAAAAACATCTGAAAAATCTGAATTAAGAAGTTGTATCGAGTAAATTTCACTTGACAAGTAAAATTATCTCTCAATGGAACAAGACTTTTTGTACTTAAAATATGAAAATCCATCTGGCCACACTTAAGAAAAGAAAAAACACAGCTCTTTGCACTTATATAATATATATATAATAAGAAACAAAATCAAATGTTTAAATACTTAAATTAAGAAAAAATACATATTCCATTGGTAGATAATTTTACTTGTCAAGTTGAATCTACTGAAATAAAGTAAAATGTTCTTAATTTAAGTCATTTTAACTTACATAGATACGGCTTTTTGGAGTGTACCGCTGGTTTTCAAGCTTTTCACACCATAAAATAGAATCATAAAAAATACATTTGTACAATATGACTCTAAATTAGCACATTTTTTCAGTTATCGGTTTCGGTGAGTACGCAGACTAAATCACTAATCTGATACCACTGTGTATTTTCCTGAATTAAACGAATCTAAAGCTCAGATTAGGTTAAACACTGACTGTGGAGACTCTTAAAACATGTTCATAATAACAGAAAATATATTTGTGTTACCTGTTTGAGACCTTCATTTAGCCTTTAGCGTGGACGCTCAGTTTGGTAAAATATCTGGAAGAGTTCATCCTGTTAACAGCAACAACAGCAACAGCACTAAGTCGGACTTTATTTACTCTGCATATTTAGTCATGTGCTTCGAGGATGAGCGTCTTTTTTACAGGCCTCACTGTTGTTTTTGTCCGCACTGTGCTAGAAAGTGATTAACTTATATTAAATCAGCACTTCTTATTGTCAAGATCTTTAGACATTTCATCAGTATCAAAAGCTTATTTATTCTTACATTTCTTTAAAAATGGCCTTTTAGTAGGGATGCAACAATAACCGAAATATCGTGATATCATATTGTAAAAAATCCGTGTATCATCCGTTCATTAGTTTTTCAATATAAAACCAAAAATAAGAAAATTAAAAAACAACAGTTTTCTTCATTATTTGTCTCCAAAACCAAAATGAAAAAACAGATAATGATTCGTTTTTTTCAGTTTTCGATTTTGTGTTTAAATGAAAAATGGAAACGAATAACGGCTGTTTCCCGTTTACGTGACTTCCGTGACTGCGATGCCGAACCTTTGCACCGCATACGGACTGAACCAGACCGGGACCAGAGCGGGACTGAGATCGGGACCAGACAGAGATCAGGACTGAGACCGGGACCAGAGCGGGACTAGTCCGGGACTGAGACCGAGACCAGACCGGAGGCTCAGAGCCCTGTGGAGGCCACTCTGGTCCCGGTCTGGTCCCGGTCTGGTCCCAGTCCTGAGTCAGTCCTGGTTCAGTCCATATGCGGTGCAATAGTTCGGCATCACAGTCATGGAAGTACGGCCGTTATTTGTTTTTTCCATTTTTCATTTAAACACAAAATCGAAAACTG